GGGGCGGCACGAGTCCGGTATGTCGCATGACCTCTGTCGCGGTCCTCCTCATCTTGCTTCGACGGTGCAGGTCGCGCTCCAGGGCTTGCTGGTGCCGCTGCCGCGCGCGTGCACTTTCGCATCCTCGAGAAGTCCGTCGACGCGATCGACGTCGACGTGGCGCTTCTCCTGTTTGATGATCCGATGCACGTCTCGGAGTTGTTGTCGATCTTATTATGCTTCTGCTGCTCGTCGTTCCTGTCGTCGGCGTTCCAGTAGAGCGCATCGCCGTTCTCGATACTCGCGCGCAGGGTCCGCCGTAGATGTCTGCAGCTGAAGTTCGGGCAGTGCTGCGCTACGAAGGCCCTGGACCAGGTCATCCCAAGCTGCGCTCAGGCCAGCACGACGCGCGTCTCTGCGCCACTGTTTCTGCTTCTGTTCTGAGAGTCTCTCCGCTTCCAGAAGCACCTCTGCGCCACTGCCGCCATGTTGTGCCCGTTTCCGAAATAAGCCGATGTCCAATGTTGGCTCTCCTTGCGGTGCCGCAGGAGCCAGAATGACATATTCTGCTCGTGGGGCGTCGCGTCTGGGGTCACCTGGAAAACCTTCACCGATTTCCTGGGTAGTTTGCATTGCCGAGTGATCTGCACCACGCCAGCGGGTCTAAGATGGCGGTCTGGGTTGCTGGCCAAGTCCGCACCGTAGTATGTAGGGCCAGCAGGGTAGAAGCTGTCCAGCACTGCGAGATTCTCCATGCGTAGTATTCGCCGTATGCCTTCGGACACCTCGCTCCCGATACATGTGGCAAATGGTCCAACATGATGTCCGTCAGCCGTCGGCGTAGGAAAACATTGGCCCACTCTCTTGGCTCCAAATTGACAATTAGAGTCCAGCCCGGGCATTGTGGTGCGTTCTAGACTGAGCGACGCGCCCAACCCGTGAGTCGCTTGCACGAGGCACGCCCGGCGTCTACTGGCATTTTGTTGGGGGGTGGATAATACGCCGTGATCCCCGTCATGTCGAAGGTGCCGCTCTTGATGCGCAGGATACTCCCCTTTCCAGCAAGGTCGGTGGGGGTTGCCTTCAACACGCAGATGTGACAGGGGCGAATCGATCTCTTCCGTGCGAAAATAGCACAGCCTGCACTGTTGCTGGCACGTCTTCCCGTCTCCCATCCAAAAGAATACATCCGATGATAAGTGGTGCTCATGGTGCAGATGGGCACCTTGAGGCGCTGTCGACATGTGGTGGCTGGGCAGACTATCGCGTCCACGAATTTGAGTGCAACGCATGTGTTCTGCGCGCCAGGCCTCAGAAATATGCAGCGGGTTGCACAACGCAAGTGTCAGCAGCTTGTTCCACATGGCAAGACAAATAATGAGTTGGTAAAGCTTAGAAGTGTGAGTGGGGCGAATCTCGAAGAGCCCCCCGCAGGATCGTGTAGCGGAAGGAGGGAATGTCCACGTACCGTACTTAGGCCGCGGCGTCGCTGGCCTGAGGCGCAGGAGCTGAGGAGGAGGGGGGAGGAGGAGGAGGAGGAGGAGGAGGAGGAGGTGGTGGAGGAGGAGGATCAGCGCGTGGTTGGGAGACAGGGAACGTGCACCAAGAAAGAGCCGCCTCCTGTGGAGGGGTGGGGACTCCAGGCAGCACGCGAGGGCCATCGACCTTTCGGCTTGGGCGAAAGTGGCCCACGCGCCTTCTAGGCAAACAGTGA